GGAAACGTTGGGGGCGCAAGGTGTGGACCTACACTGCGAACTTACTTTTCTTGCGTGATTGACACCACCATTACAATATCTGGTTGCCCCGCGGGACCGAGGTGATTTCGGCCGCTTGCCCCACTTGCCCCGCTTGCCCCGCTTGCCCCACGTGCCTCGCGTGCCCCGCTTGCCCCGCTTGCCCTGCTTGCCCGGCTTGCCCCGCTTCGCCCCCTTTGCCCGGCTTGCCCCGCTTGCCCCACTTGCCCTGCTTGCCCCGCTTGAAGAACATACACAAGAAGAAGTGAAAATGAACAGTGGGTCGGGCATGTCGTGCCAGTGTAAGTCCATTGAAATATTCTGTAGGACGTGCTCTTTGTCGCTTCATGCGGTAGGAAAGAAATGCGCATTGGCACAGCTAGGAGCGAACACATGCAATGTAAGGAACGCACCAGCAGAAGGAAAGAAAAGGAAGGCAGCCAATGCAAGACAAGCCGCTCCAAACCCTTGAAAGGGTGAATCTGTACCTAAAGCATACTTGTACGACCTGACAGGACTGTTCTGTAACAGCGCAAGACAACATATCTATGCAGCATGCAATATGTTTCCCTTTTATTTTACGTTCCCCCACTGCCCAGTTCTCGCGCTTCCTCTTCTTCTTCTTCTTCTTCTTCTTTTTCTTATTCTTCTTCTTCTTCTTCTCCTTTTTTCTTCTTCTTGCAAGTGTGCGATTTAGTCCCAGCAAAAGATTGGTGGAGGGAGGAGTGCACGCCAGGCGGCTCAGAAGGCCATCGCTTTCACTTCAACTTCAGGCACTGATTCTCCAAGCCACTTACATCTCAGCTTTGACAAGTAGAGGTCCCATAAGATTTCAGAGAGCCCGTAAAGAGGTCAGGAATTTCCACTAAGAAAATGCAAAGGGGCTATGCGTGACCAGGCACAAGTTTTGGATGGTTAACTTTTGAAGACCATCCAGCCAAAATCGCATGCACGAAGGAGGATGCAAAAGGTAAGGAGCAAGCTGCTAGTATTGTGCATGTGTAGGTACATATATATGTGTGTGTGTGTGGCACAGTTTGAGGCCTTTTAGTACAAGGTAAAAATTCATGTGACAAGATACATTCACGCCCTGCAGTTCCTTTTCCGGAAGAGCGCCTCTTACCAAAAAAAAGCCGGCAAAGGACCCCAAACAGTGTTGGGGGTAGGAAGGCAATGTACCAGATACAAGCAACAGCGGCTATGGAACAGCAACAGGTGAGGTTGGATATCATTGCAACTGTAGCAGCAGGACCTTCTACGTAGATCGATATAGAGGAGCTTACAAGATCTTCATACAAGAAGTTGTTTTGAGCATCCTAGAAGAACTAAGCTCACAATAAAAGCACCTGCTGATGCTGGAGGGGAGCGTGCAAAATCTTGAGACAAGAGCCTCCCAAGAGCCTCCCACAAGAGCTTTCATACAAGCATCGCAGCATCGGTAAATACGAAAGACTTCCAATCCCACTCATATGCAAAGATGAGAGCACAAATCCAGACAGAAGTGTGCAGTTTGCATGGCATGAGCAACATGTCATGGATTCATTCGTGCTAGGCCTTTTGTAGTTCAAAACAGAGCGCACTGCCCGCCGTTTGTTCACATGGTAGCGGGGCTGAATATACCAGCCCCCACCTTTCCTTGTGACACGTTGCCACAGAATCTAGCTGGATTGGAAGCTGCCAATACAAGCTGCAAATACTTTTTCGAAACTTTACACTGGGGACGCAACTCCATTTCATACAGGCGTTTCTGACTTCAGGTGCGGTTTGGACGGCTTGGTTTTTCACTGGCTTGGCGGAGTGATTCATTCCCGAGAGCGTCTGAGCGCAGGGTTCTTCCAATAGTGGGGGTCTGTATCTCATCTTCTCATCTTCACATCTTCTCATCTTCACATCTTCACATCTTCTCATCTTCACATCTTCTCACTTCACATCTTCTCATCTTCACATCTTCTCATCTTCACATCTTCTCATCTTCACATCTTCTCATCTTCACACCTTCTCATTTTCACATCTTCTCATCTTCACACCTTCTCATTTTCACATCTTCTCATCTTCACATCTTCTCACTTCACATCTTCTCATCTTCACATCTTCTCATCTTCACATCTTCTCATCTTCACATCTTCTCATCTTCACATCTTCTCATCTTCACATCTTCTCATCTTCACCATCTTCTCATCTTCACACCTTCTCATTTTCACATCTTCTCATCTTCACATCTTCTCACTTCACATCTTCACATCTTCTCATCTTCACATCCTCTCATCTTCACATCTTCTCATCTTCACATTTTCTCATCTTCACATCCTCACATCTTCTCATCTTCACATCTTCTAATCTTCACAGCTGCTCATCTTCACATCTTCACATCTGCTCATCTTCATATCTTCTCATCCTCACATCCTCACATCTTCACATCTTCTCCTCTTGCCCTCTTGCCCTCTTGCCCTCTTGCCCTCTTGCCCTCTTGCCCTCTTGCCCTCTTGCCCTCTTGCCCTCTTGCCCTCTGCCCTCTTGCCCTCTTGCCCTCTTCTTGCCTCCCCCTCTTGCCCTCTTTGCCCCCTCTTGCCCTTTGCCCTCCCTCTTGCCCTCTTGCCCCTCTTGCCCTCTTGCCCTCTTGCCCTCTTGCCCTCTTGCCCTCTTGCCCTCTTGCCCTCTTGCCCTCTTGCCCTCTTGCCCTCTTGCCCTCTTCCCCTCTTGCCCTCTTGCCCTCTTGCCCTCTTGCCCTCTTGCCCTCTTGCCCTCTTGCCCTCTTGCCCTCTTCTTCTTTTCTATTTCTCTTCTGAAGGCGGGGGCAGGGGCAGTGCCAACGAGACGGCACGAAACGAGGTTCGATCGCCAAAAACTGAGGTAGAATTGCGATTTCAACTTGTCCGGCGCAACCCTTTCGCACGAAAGTTCGATCGTCAAAAACTGAGGTAGAATTGCGATTTGCAAGGTGTCCCGCGCACCCTTTCGCACGAAATGAGGTTCGATCGTCAAAAACTGAAGTAGAATTGCGATTTCAACTTGTCCGGCGCAACCCTTTCGCACGAAACGAGGTTCGATCGTCAAAAACTGAGGTAAAACTGCGATTTCAGGTGTCCCGCGAACCCTTTCGCACGAAATGAGGTTCGATCGTCAAAAACTGAGGTAGAATTGCGATTTCCGGGTTCCCGTTGCAACCTTTTCGCACGAAATGAGGGTCGATCGCCAAATTCCAAGTTGTCCCGCGCAACCCTTTCGCACGAAACGAGGTTCGATCGTCAAAAACTGAGGTAAAATTGCGATTTCAAGTTGCTCCGCGCAACCCTTTCGCACGAAACGAGGCTCCATCGTCAAAAAGTGTGTAAAAGCTTTTGTGTGTGAAAGCTTCTGTGTGTGTGAAAGTGTTTGTGTATAAAAGCGTCTGTGTGTAAAAGTGTCTGTGTGTCAAAGCGTCTGTGTGTAAACGCGTCTGTGTGTAAAAGCGTCTCTGTGTAAAAGCGTCTGTGTGTAAAAGTGTTAGTGTGTAAAAGTTTTTGTGTGCAAAAATGTCTGTGTGTAAAAGTGTTTGTGTGTAAAGGCGTTTGTGTGTGAAAGCGTCTGTGTGTGTGCAAGCGTCTGTGTGTAACTGTGTGTGTGTGCAAGCGTCTGTGTGTACAAGCTTTTGTGTGCAAAAGTGTCTGTGTGTCAAAGTGTTTGTGTGTAAAAGCGTCTGTGTGTAAAAGCTTTTGTGTGCAAAAGTGTCTGTGTGTCAAAGTGTTTGTGTGTAAAAGCGTCTGTGTGTAAAAGCTTTTGTGTGCAAAAGTGTCTGTGTGTCAAAGTGTTTGTGTGTAAAAGCGTCTGTGTGTAAAAGCGTCTGTGTGTAAAAGCGTCTGTGTGTAAACGCGTCTGTGTGTAAAAGCGTCTGTGTGTAAAAGTGTCTGTGTGTCAAAGTGTTTGTGTGTAAAAGCGTCTGTGTGTAAAAGCGTCTGTGTGTAAAAGCGTCTGTGTGTAAACGCGTCTGTGTGTAAAAGCGTCTGTGTGTAAAAGTGTCTGTGTGTGTAAAAGTGTTAGTGTGTAAAAGTGTTTGTGTGTAAAAGCTTTTGTGTGCAAAAGTGTCTGTGTGTAAAAGTGTTTGTGTGTGTGTAAAAGTGTCTGTGTGTAAAAGCGTTTGCGTGCAAACGTGTTTGTAGAAGCGTTGGTGTGTAAAAGCTTCTGTGTGTAACAGCTTCTGTGGCTAAAAGCTTTTGTGTGTAAAAGTGTTTAGAGCTGGCCGAGCGTGCTGCATCTGTCGCAGACTCAGGTTCCATTGTGTTTTTTGCCTTGGATTCTTTCACATATGCATAGGTACTATCTGTGTTGAAAACTGTCAGACTGTCACTACATCCGGTTGCATTTACTATGTGTTTTTCATGTGACATGATCGAAGTTGTTGTTCACTGTGATTTTGCCTGAGGCACTCACTATTTGGATTTTGGATGCTTAGAAGCTACTTTTTCAGAAGGTTGGTGACGCCGGAATGTCATTGGTTACACTCTACTACAAAATATGTGATGAACAGAAACACGCACAGACACACCGTGAAAACAGTATCAAAATATCACAGAAACTTGTGACTTCATCGAAGCTGTTCATGTTTGTCAATTTGCAAGGCATGGAAGACATTTGCATTGTGGTTGCAAAGAGGCCACCGACTCAGAAACATTTGTGCTGATGTGACTCGCGTGTGCGTCTGTTGGATTCAGTTGCATTTTGGAAAGTGTCATTTCTACTTTATATTGATGGCGGCTCAAGCTCGTGCAGAAAAGTTTCTGACATGGTTTTAACTGAAGGTGCAGTAGTATTTTCAATGTTTGTTTTGATTAGGACCGTCATTGTCACACGTGATTGAAGGGCTCGTCTTAACCGGAACTGTCTGAGAGGCGGGCACCATTCAGGCACACAAAGATGTCTCAACATGCATTTGTATTTTCAATTTCTTTTCATCATGGACCTACACAGTCACACGCTTTTTGCACGTACGATATCCAACTCTTGTCATGTCGCAGCCACGAGAGAAGCTGCAGCGGTTGGTGCAGGATGGCGCCAGGAAGGGACTGGAGTGGCGGCAAGGAGCCGTAGCAGAGATCTGTAAAGATGATTTGCGAGCAATGGTGACGGCGGCAGGGTTGCCAGTGAGGGCAAACAGCAGCAAAAAGTGGTTGACAATGCCAGAACTGCGAGAAGCGTTGCTGGCATATCTGGCTTCTGAGGCTACAAAGGTGGGAAGTTGTTTGACTGCAAGTTGTAAGGATGATATGTGCAACTGGGATGGAGTTTTACTTCTGTTTGACAACATGTTCCGAAATTGAAAAGAGAACGGTCTCTTTCAAATTAATGCTTGGTGAGACAGAATGGTTCATTTTGACCTTCTATGAAATATAGGTGCACACGAACATGTTTGCCTGCGATCATGTTTGGTTCTGGTTATGATTGCTTGTTGCCGTATAGGAGTTCACTTCTCAGACATTCTGTGGTTCGTTAAACAACTCTGGAGGCAGCTGCTCCGCAGCCGGGACAGCAGCTGCAGCAGTTGCGAGAGGAAGCTGCCATCAGGGGGCAAGAGTGGCTGGGAGGAGTTCTGGCAGAGATCGGTCGAGATCACTTGCGAGAAATGAGCGGGTTGCCAGTTAGGGCAAACAGCAGCAGTAGGTGGTTACCTGTTTCAGAACTGCGAGAAGCGCTGCTGGCACATCTGGCTTCTGAGGCTGGGAAGGTGGGATTTTTTTGATTGCAAGTTGTATGGACAATATGTGTAACTGGAATGACGTCTTATTTCTATTATACAACATGTTCAGTCATTATAAAGACAATGGTTTACATCAAGATAATTTTCGATTAGACTGAGGGTGTCATTTTGATATCTCATGAAATAATGAAACGTTTTGCGTTTGGGATGTCTGGTGGTGTATTGAAGTTATTTATGGGGCTAGTTGTTGGTCAGATATTGGTTCATTTCGAAGTATGACAAATTGAGTGTTGGTTAAACAGAGTGGTTTGTCATCCTTTGAAATATAGGACAACATGAACATGTCTGCCTGCCATCATGTTTGGTTCTGGTTATGATTGCTTGTTGCTGTATAGGAGCGCACTTCTCAGACATTCTGCAACTGATTTCTATTGTACAACATGTCTAATCATTGTACAGATCTTGGTTCATTTCGAAGTATGACAAATTGTGTGTTGGTTAAACAGAGTGGTTTGATATCCTTTGAAATATAGGACAACATGAACATGTCTGCCTGCCATCATGTTTGGTTCTGGTTATGTAAGTTGTGATTGCTTGTTGCTGTATCGTAGTTCGCTTCTCAGACATTCCGTCGTTCGTTAAGCAACTCTGGAGGCAGCTGCTTCGCAGCCGGGAGAGAAGCTGCGGTGGTTGCGAGAGGAAGCTGCCATCAGGGGGCGGCATTGGCTGGGAGGAGCTCTGCGAAGAGGAGCTGCGCGAAATGCGCAAGGCTGCGGGCTTGCCAGTGAGGGCAAACAGCAGCAAGAAGTGGTTAGCAATGCCAGAACTGCGAGAAGTGCTGCTGGCAGATCTGTTTCCTGAGGCTGAGAAGGCGGGGAAGTGGTTTGATGGCAAGTTATAGAAACAATATGTGCAACGGGAACGAAGGCCTATTTCTACTACAGAACATGTTTCAGTTATTGTAAAGACAACGGTTTACATCAACATAAGTTTCGCTTAGACTGAAGGTGTCATTTCGATATGTCATGAAATATTGAATCGGTTTGTTTTTGGGATGTCTGGTGGTGTATTGAAGTTATTTATGGGGCTAGTTGTAGGTTAAAATGTTCGTAGGTTTTTGATATTGTTGTGATTTGTGGGGTTGGTCGTTAGAAGTGATCAATGAGTGGTTGAGGCATCTGGAAGTACTGCAGAAGGAGCTGCTGCCGGCCAACTGGAAATGGCCGAGGAGGTTACGAAAAATGGGCAGTGACCGCTCAAACAGGCCCTTCAGAGCAGCAGTTTTTGCAAGGCTTCCCCAAGGGTGCGAAAATTGTGCATCGACAGTTTTACAAGGGTGTTTTTCGGGTCGACGAAAGCGACAGCAATGGTAATATCAGATGTCATGCCTCTTGTAAGTTGGAGCACTTTGCATATGAAGTTTTCACAATTGGCATACCACGCGAACCGGTGGATTTCCTTAACCATGCAGTTCGTGCAGGACACCCCAGGCCAATTGCAATTCACCTGCCGGACGCTGTAAAAGATGTTTTGGCTGAGAATTTTTCTGGAAGCGAATATAAACTGGCCAAAGACCGGGCGAGTTTTCTTTGGAAATGGGGCAACCGGGCAAAAGAGTTGGCTGAGGACGAACGACGTCTTCATGAAAGTATGCCTGAACATTTGCGGCATCTACTGCGTGGGAAACGGTTGCTTCTACTGAAAGTTTGCGGTCAACCTGTTGGTAGCTCCTTATTACTAGTGTTGGTGAGAAACGTGTTTCGTGCTGCTGTTGTCTCTCCTTGTTGTGTTGGCCTTCTCCTGGGGGATCACTCGAAGTGTCTTTGTGCTTGCAACAAACAGAACTGGTTTTTCTGGTCAGCAGTTTCTTTACGTGCTTCAATATGGAGGCAACTTCAATTGGGAATCCCAACTTCTTGCAGAAGCATTTCAATCTTGACTGGCTTATCTTCACTGGATGATTTCAGGACAACAACGTTACTTTATGAGTTTCACAATGGAAATGATTCAATGTCACATCATGACATATGGCTCAGCAGGGACGGGTGGCGGGTAGCCTCTATCCTTTTGGACAGAGGTTGCTCCTATATGGGAGCGCGCGCGCGGGGGAGGGTAGCTGTGTCGGCCCCCCTCGCTTTGCGGCCTGTGCCGGTCGCATCTGCTCAGATTGGCATTCGTGATTTCCTGGTTTTTTCAAGTGGCTTTATTTCAGCTTGCATTCTCATTTGGTGGCTTTTGTTTGGAGTCGTGCATGTGGATTAGCCTTGACAGATTTTCTGAGTGTGATCCTCAGGAAGGGTTCATTGTCCATATTCCGGGTTGGTTTGGAAGCCAGTCTATCATTCTGGCTTGGTTGACTCCTGCTGAATCTCATCGATATTTGCAAACCTGTGTTTATTTGCTCATTGACACCAGGGATCTTCTTCTTAGTGCAACTGCGGTCAGATTGCAGTATTCGGGTTCTGAATTTTCAGTGGCGACACCACCTGTTCAAGCGGCGTTGCAGCTCGCTGTCGGCCAAGGTGGGGGTGACTGGGACCTGGAGTTTTCTGACAACAGTGAATCTTCTGAGCCAGTTGAGAGTCATGCCATGGAGGTTGAACACACTGACGGAATACAAGGTTTCTGAGGGTGCTTCTTCAGACAACGCTGATCAGTTGTTTTCAAGTGATGTTCCTGGTGTGGACCTGGCTGGGCAGTTTGGGAACGTCGGGACCTCGGATTTCTTTTCATTGGGAGGCCATGCATTGGATGACAGTGGCCTTTTTGGTAACAAATCTTGCGAAACAGATGTAGGCTTGGAATCTCCTGCAGGCTCCAACATTTTTGAAGCACAACCTGGTTTCAAGGACAGTGGAGCGTTGGCCTTGGGTGCAAGTCAGGTACCAAGAGGGCCAGTGATTTCAGAGTCGAGTTTTGACCAGCTTCTGTCTCACGCATATTTGGGCACCAGGGGGCCTTTGACTGTTAAGATGCCTTGGGAGCGTGGTGTTTTCAAAAAGATCTTCAAAAAACCTGCGCGCGGCCTACAAAATGTTTTTCAGCAGCCTAGAGTATGGGTCAATCATAATCTGGACTCTGTTGCAGAGACGCTGGAAGAGTTACATGGACCAGATGTGGGCCAACCAGAGCTTGTCGGAGCCTTTTTTGGAGCGTGCTTTGACTGCAGTGTCTGACATGTCTTTTCAGCAGCAACGGCAAAATCTTCTTGAGACAGCAGTTGAAAATGGTTCTGCATCATCAGGGTGAACATGTTGGCGTCTTCGACTGGCAGGGACATCATCAATTTTGGAAACATGGATGACCAGAAGAGAGGAGCATTTGAAACTATTGGGGCTGTGATTGGTATTAGATCTAGGACTACTGCAATCACTAGGGCGAACTCTCTACTGAAGTTCCTGCGCTGGAGGGCGGAATGTTCGGACAATGATGGCAAGCCTTTTTCTGAGCAGGAGGCATGGCAATACCTGCGTGAGCTGAGAGAGACTGGAGCGGCTCCCACAAAGGGGACAAGTTTTTTGTCAGCATGTGCATACGCACTTCATGTTTTTGGCTTCAGTGACTTGGAGGGCATTTGCAACAGCAAAAGGCTGAGAGGGCTTGCAACAGACTTTCTGCACGCCGTCAAGGCGCCCTTGAAACAGGCGCTGGTCCTTACTGTCAGGCAAGTGCTCAGGCTGCATGAGTTGTTGGAGTCTACAGACTGCAATGTGGTTGACAGAGCGGTTGCTGCATATCTTCTTAATGCTCTTTATGGGAGGTGCCGTCACAGTGATTTGCAGAACATAGAAGATGTTTTCATTGATTTGGGTCCGGAGGGCGGATACCTCGGGTTGACCACAAGGACACACAAAACATCAAGAACTGTTTCTCAGAAGTCCAGGTTGCTGCCGGTGGTGTTCCCTGCAATAGGAGTGCAAGGGCGAGAGTGGGTCACAGCTGCAAAGATGGCTTTTGAAAGCTGTGGACTCAGGCTGGATGGGCACATAGGTGGACCCTTGTTCAAACCACCGGGCGCTGATGGAGACAGTCACTGCAAGAGAGGCCTTACGTCTCAAGAGATGTCAAGGTTCTTGCGAGTCATGCTGGGGGAACAGTTAGCACAGTCTGGGGAGAGTGGACCAAAGTTGTCGTCGCATCCTGGGCAGCGAAAGCTGGCATGGCAGCGCAGGACAAGTCTATCCTGGGAAGACATGTAAGTGCTTATGCGGATTCCAGTGCAGTTTATACCAGGGACTTGTCAATTGGTGCTGTGTCGCGCCTTCAGGATGTTATTTCACAAATCTACAGAGGTGAGTTCCTACCAGACGCTCCTAGGAGCGGGTATTACCCGGTGGCTGCGCCTGTTTTTGAAGAGCCCTGCAATGCAGCCTCAGAAGTGGTTAAGGTTGAAGATGATGCCATTGGACCGGAGCCCGTTGAAGAGACTCCGCAGGTTGATGGCGAGCTAGTTGAAGAGGCTTGCAGTGCATCCTCTGATGGGTCAGAGTCTTTGGAAGGTTCAGACTCTGAGGAGGAGATTGAACAACAAGCGCCGAAGTGTTACAAGCACATCGCAGTGGGACCACTGGCTGGGAGGTTTGTGATGCACAAAGTGTCACACCTGGTGCATTATGCGGACCAGCGTGTGCTTGAGGGCGCTGGAGCCAAAGTCATTTCATGTGGCAGGGCCTTGAACAACAATTATTACAAGACAACTGAGAAATTTGACTCAGTGGATATGTGCAGGCGTTGTAAAACCAATGCCATCAAGGATGGAGTCCTTCCGAAGCCTGCGGTATAAAAAGGTGTGCATCTCACATGGTGAGTCTCAGCACACTTGAGTGCAAGTTGTTAGGTTGCGTGGCACCTTACTGGCTGCGTGGCAGCATGAATGCAAGTTTAGATGTGAAAGTGTTTGAGGAAAACTGTTGTCGTGTTTTTCAATCTCTCTTTTTGCAAATCAGGCAACATCAAGTCAGCTTTGAGCAGCTGAGAAGTAGTCAATAGGATCGTTGGCAGATGGAAGAAATTTGAACGAGAGACTCATGTAGCGTGGCTCATGAGGATTGCTGACAACAGTGCAAAGTTTTTCAGATTGGTAGTTCCGAAATCCAGCTTTCAGCTTCAGGGTTTGCATTTTTCATGGTTTAAGGTTCCCAGTCAGTTGACTGCGATGTGATCCGCCTTATATGTTTAACTTTTACAATTGCTTCACTTGGTGAACATGGTGTTTGCATAACTTACACAACTTCGTGTGCAATGGCTAGCTTACTGGATTCAGAAGCTCAATTTGTCCAACGCACCATTGACTTGAAGCTGTCGGAAGAACTGAAGCGCAGTTTGAAAAGAACGGGATTGCAGACTTTTGGAACCTTCGCATATGCTCATGGCCAACCAGGACAGAACATAGCAGATGAGGCTTTTGAGACATGGGTCACTGGCCAATTGCTGAAAGGGGCCACCATAGCGGACATTGTTGGTGCCAAAAGACTTCTATTCGAGAGTCAAACCATAGTCTTAGCATCCTTACAAGATCAAGTCAATGCAGCTGATGCTTCTTCTATTAAGAAGGTGCCCGTTGCTGAGCGGGAAACCAAAATGTGGGCCATCAAGAAGAGGTTGACAGGCCTTCTCATAGAAGGGCCCCTTGAGCCTGGCCACGCACTTCTGGACACTACAGCCAGTATGATGCAGCTCAATGAAATCAAATACATTCCTCCTGAAAAATGTATTTCGAGGACCCATGAAGTGTTGAATCAAAAGCCGCCCACAAAGCAGTTGGACATTTCAGCTGAGAACCTGCATGGAAAGCAGGACACTCCAGACATGACTGTCACTTCAGCGCTACAAGTGAAAGAGGCCTTCCAGAGGCGTGGAATAGCGTTGGTGTTCGCGGATCTGGTTACCCATGAGAGTTATACCAGATATCTTACCACTCTCTTTGGGCATTTGCATAGGGACCCGCCTGCGGGATATGCAAGAACCACTGTGAGCCAGCTTGTGTGGCAGATGCTCCTGGAGGAGGGGGTGCAACCGAAAAGAGATGAGATGGGAGTGCTGGCGCTGGATGCGAAGCTCATGGAGAGTCTCCAGAGTTATCGCGTCTCTTTTCCTTGTTGCCGCTGATCGCCAAGAAGGACACTACTCCCAGCCCTACGAAGATGGCTAAGCCCTCTGTCAGTCATGGTGGAAAAGGAGCGAATCTGCATTTTCAAAAGCCATGGATCAAGTCAAAAGGAGGCAAGAAAGGTGGAAAAGGAAAAGTAAGAGTTCCGAACCACACCTTCAAGCTTGGTGGAACGGCTTCCAATCCTGCAGGTGAAGCAATTTGTTTTGGATTTAACAGCAGCTCCGGGATGTTCAGAAGCAGCAGATGGAGCGAAGTGTAGATGTGGTTTGCACATATGTGCAAAATGCTATGGGACGCATGGTATCCAGAAGCATGAGTCGACTTGACTCGCTGGCCAAGATCAAGGTGAGATCCCTACCAGTGATACATCAAAACGATGTGTGGTGGTTGCAAGCAATTTTTCGGATGGCAATTTTTCAGATTTGGCTGTGCTGAGTGATTCATGCAAAGAGCGTGTTGAGTGCAGCGACCCAATTAAAGGGCAGAACGATAGCACCATGGCAGCGAAGACTGACATGTCAAAAAGTTGCAGTTTTGAGACCAATTTTCCAGAGAAACTTGAGCATGAATGTCAGAGCAGTGATGACTCTGGTGGTGACAAGCCCTCAGTTCAGCGAGAAGAGCCAGTGCGGTGCGTTGGACAGGCTTCTTTTGCGTTTAGCCCGGATCAGTTAAAAGGACCTGTGGTAATAGAAGTTTTTTGTGGGAGCGCCAGAGTCACAGCTTGTTTGAAGGAACTCGGCCTCAAGGAGCCCTTTGGGGTTGACCATGTGTTGGATAAGGCTGTTTCCTCTGCAAAGCGCCTGGACCTTACGCAAGATGCAGACCAGCAGACTTTTCTTCAGTGGTTGCATTCACCTTTAGTTGTGGGCGCGTTTTTAGCACCTCCTTGCGGTACATGTTCTTTGGCAAGAAACATTCAGCTGCGTGACAAAAAAGGTCGAAAGATACAAGGCCCCAAACCATTACGATCTGCAGTTTGGCCAGAAGGTCTGCCTGGATTGGGTGACAAGGACAGAGCAAGAGTGTTTGCCCCAAATAAGCTGTATGAGTTTGTTGCACAAATTGTCACCCGGGCACATTCACTGGGGCTCATTGTTGTTGTCGAGAATCCTAGGTCTTCACTTTTTTGGTTGACACGTTTCTGGAGAAGCATCGGAGTTCCGATGCAGTATACAGCACACCAGGCATGTGCGTATGGAGGTGAGCGTCCGAAGTGGACTGTCTTGGCTTGGAACCATTCAGCCTTCGCCATTGTCAACAGGTGTTGTCCAGGAGAAGGGAAACACCACCATCACAAACCCTGTGGGCTGGTGCGATCTGAAGGCGGCACCCATTTCTCTACTAGTATTACTAGTGAAGAAACTGCTTATCCACCGGGTTTAGCACATGCCACAGCAAAAGTTTTTGCAGAAATTTTGACATCACATGGATGGAGTCCATCCTTTGAACAGCTTCACAGTACGGATGTCACTTTACAGTCCATGCGAGCGGCGGCAACAGCACAACCAAAGGCATCAAAAATGCCGCCTGTGGTGAGAGAGCACAAATTCGTTGTTTTATTACAAGGGCCCTATGGCGCCTTGTGTGAGGTGCCAATATCTCCCATGCAGCGTCTCAAAGAGCCGTGGACTGTTCCATCAGCATGCTCATCTACGATAGAAGAATTCCCTGTGGGTGCTCAACTCTTGCGTCAGACTCCCCTCCGGTTAAGTGGGGGGACAGTTCATGCCGGATCTTTTTCTTCAGAACAATCCACAGTAGAGGTTTTCGAGCAGGCATGGGGCATTCCATTTAGTCCAGAGGAGTTCATGGAAGAGGCTGTATCAAGAGGACATCCAAAGTTGTTTGCCAGGTTGGTGCCTGAAGTTTTGCAAGTGGCCATAAGGATTAAATTTCAATCTGCGAGCGTGCAAAGTTTGCCAGCAGCAAGGGCGAAGTGGTTTGCAAAGTGGACTGAGAAGGCAAGGCAGTTGACAGCCAGAGACGTTGAACTCAAACCAACCTTGCCACCTCATGCAGCATACATTCTCGAGCCAAAGCGCCTTACACTGTTTAAAGAAATTCTGGAAGAGATTGGATACCCAGACTTGGGAGTTTTTGATGAACTTGTGAATGGAACGGAGCTTGTGGGAGAGGGCCGGTATGGTCTAGTGGATAGGACGCATCCCTCATGCGTCAGGCCCGGGTTCAATACCTGGGTGCAACACTAGGCGGACAGGCGGGCCACTACCCCACCCCTGCAGTTAAGGGGATGAGCTAGGGTGTGGTCCGTAAACACTCACCGTGAAACCTTTTGGAATTTTCGAGAAAGCTTTCAGACCAGCAGAGATAACTACCGAGCAGCTGATGTCTTCGGTGAAGGCCACCAGGGTTCTGAACTTCTACAAATGCTCTTCTTCAGGCGACACTGAAATTGATGAAGTTGTATACAGCAAGACGCTTGAGGAAGTTGAGCTTGGGTGGGCTTTGGGCCCCATGGAGTGAAATGACTTGCCACATGACGCGGTGGTCAGCAGAAGATTTGGTTTGAAGCAATCAGCAAAAATACGCCTCATTGATGATTTGAGCCCAAGCAAAGTAAACCAGACAGTCCAGACAGCGGAATCTCCAAAACCGCACTCAGTGGATTTCATAGCAGCCATGCTTTTGGAAGTTTTGAAATACAGCAAGGGCATTCAATTGCTGGGCCGGTCGTTTGATTTAAAGACCGCGTATAAGCAGCTCGCCATGGCGAAATCTTCTTTGTCATGAGCCTTCGTTGCGGTTTATAATCCGAGGTCAGGCAAAGCGGAACTTTTTCAGTTGCTAGCTGCACCTTTTGGTGCGACAAGGAGCGTGTATTCGTTTTTGAGAGTCTCACATGCCATTTGGTACATCGGCGTGAAAGCCTTGAACATCATATGGAGCTACTTCTTTGACGATTATGTTTCTTTCTGCAGGGAGGAACATGTGAACAACACTAGCATGTCGGTGTCTCTTTTGTTCAAGCTGTTAGGCTGGAAATTTGCGGAGGAAGGAGATAAAGCTGAAGACTGTTCGAAAGAGTTTGGCGCGTTGGGCATTCGCATTATTCTGGAGGACTCAGCTTCAGGTTTGGTAAAGTTTACGAACACTGAGAAGAGATCGGCAGAACTGATAAGCATCATTAACAATCTCCTTTGCAAAGGTTCCATGACCCTAGTGGAAGCTCAGCGGCTCAGGGGAAGAATGCAATTCATGGATGGCCAGTTGTTTGGAAGGCTTGGGAAGTTGTGCATGAGGGAGGTCACCAATCACTCCTTGACACCCAATACAACGAAACTCTGTAAAAGAACCGTGGATGCTACGCAGAGGTTTGCAATTTTTCTGGAGCATGCACGGAAGCTACACTTAAACTCTGACACGGTGTGGTTCATATACACGGATGCTTGCTTTGAGCCCACATCATTGACTTGGAAGTGTGGCCTTGGGGGTGTTCTGGTGAGCCCTACTGGCCAAAAGGTGGCCTTCTTTTCTTTGGCTCTCGACGAAGATCAAATGGAGTTGATGGGGTCTGGCGTAAAGAAGACCATCATCTTCGAGGCAGAGCTTTTAGCGATGGTAGTTGCTTTTTCAGCATGGAGAGGTTTTATTTCAGCCATGTCACTGCTCTGTTTCATTGACAACAATTCAGCAAGGGACGTAGCAATCTCTGGAAGCGGCAGAAACATCACGGCGAACTTCCTCATTGAGGCTCTTCTCAAACTTGAGATGGCAACTTGCACAACGCCGTGGTACAGCAGAGTGCCTGTATACCCCCTCAAACATAGCTGACGACACTTCAAGGGGTGACATACATGATCTGGTCATGAGTGGAGTCAATAGGACATGCGTCAAAGACTCCCAGCAAGAGATTCTTTTAGTCCTGGCTGAGGCTACGGTTATGGGGGGACAAGCGGTTTGACATCCACAGCGAGTGTTTGGCAGCTGTGGTTCCATACTACAATGCGATTTATATGGAGCTTCATATGTGATGCAACTGAATCGTACAGCCCATCGTCACTGGTGTCAAAAAAAAAAAGTGTGCTTTTGTGAGGGAATCCATCACACGACATGTTGCAGTTGAATGGCAGCCGATTTCTCATTTGAGTGATGTGAGTTTTTTGCTGTGGCGGTTTTCATTTCGTTTTTTGGATGAATGCGAACGGCGTGAATTTTGCGACGACGGTTCTCTTTTTGTTTGGCGACCGGAATTTCTCTAGAGTAACAGCAGCCACCAACACTAGTAATAAGTTTGCGGTCAACCTGTTGATAGCTCCTTATTACTAGTGTTGGTGAGAAACGTGTTTCGTGCTGCTGTTGTCTCTCCTTGTTGTGTTGGCCTTCTCTTTCTCCTGGGGGATCACTCGAAGTGTCTTTGTGCTTGCAACAAACAGAACAGTTTTTTCTGGTCAGCAGTTTCTTTACGTGCTTCAATTTGGAGTCAACTTCAATTGGGAATCTCAACTTCTTGCAGAAGCATTTCAATCTTGACTGGCTTATCTTCACTGGATGATTTCAGGACAACAACGTTACTTTATGAGTTTCAGACTGGAAATGATTCAATGTCACATCGTGACATATGGCTCAGCAGGGACGGGTGGCGGGTAGCCTCTATCCTTTTGGACAGAGGTTGCCCCTCCCTCCACACCCTTGGAACTGGTGAAGCAAAATCTCTTGGAAATTTTGTGGCAGCATCTGCGCAGCTTCCGTTGTCCTTTCGATACAACATTCAGCACTACTGGGGACAAGCGGTTTGACATCCACAGCGAGTGTTTGGCAGCTGTGGTTCCATACTACAATGCGTTGTATATGATCGCCACTGGTGATGACATTTTTTCTGGAGCTTCATATGTGATGCAACTGAATCGTACAGCCCATCGTCACTGGTGTCAAAAAAGTGTGCTTTTGTGAGGGAATCCATCACACGACATGTTGCAGTTGAATGGCAGCCGATTTCTCATTTGAGTGATGTGAGTTTTTTCCCAAAAGCATC